TATATATATATATATATATATATATATATATATATATATATATATATATATATATATGTATACATATATGTTGATATAGATAGGTAGATAAACACTTGCACTATATATGTATGTTTATATATGTTTATGTATGTGTGTGTATATGCATGTACACACACACGTGTGTGTGTGTTTAAATATATATATATATTTTTTTTTATTTATATATTTATGTATTTCATCATTAACCCATTGCCGCCGGGGATGGCATGTATGTACATGCCATGCCCATTGTGAGTCGACTTGTTTTTACACATAGATCCCAATTTGCTGTTAAAAATAACACCATCTATATTTATAGCACTAGTAAGAATAGGTTTTTTCCCGCCAGTTCAAGTGAAGGTGAAATCAGGACTAGCAGAGCCATCTATGGCCAGAGATATATCTTACAAAAATATAGAAAATGAGTATCGCATTTGCCCCATTTTTTTGTTCATTTTCCCCGGCGGCAATGGATTAAGATACATCCTGGTCTTTGTCTAATATATGACGATCTCTAGTATATAACATATGACGATCTCCAATATATAACATATGACGATCTCCAGTATATAACATATGACGATCTCCAATATATAACATATGACGATCTCCAATATATAACATATGACGATCTCTAGTATATAACATATGACGATCTCCAATATATAACATATGACGATCTCTAGTATATAACATATGACGATCTCCAATATATAACATATGACGATCTCCAATATATAACATGTAACGATCTCCAATATATAACATATGACGATCTCCAATATATAACATGTAACGATCTCCAATATATAACATATGACGATCTCCAATATATAACATATAACGATCTCCAATATATAACATATAACGATCTCTAGTATATAACATATGACGATCTCTAGTATATAACATATGACGATCTCCAATATATAACATATGACGATCTCCAATATATAACATATGACGATCTCCAATATATAACATGTAACGATCTCCAATATATAACATATGACGATCTCCAATATATAACATATGACGATCTCCAATATATAACATATGACGATCTCCAATATATAACATGTAACGATCTCCAGTATATAACATATGACGATCTCCAATATATAACATATGACGATCTCTTGTATATAACATATGACGATCTCCAGTATATAACATATGACGATCTCCAATATATAACATATGACGATCTCCAATATATAACATATGACGATCTCTAGTATATAACATATGACGATCTCCAGTATATAACATATGACAATCTCCAATATATAACATATGACGATCTCCAGTATATAACATATGACGATCTCCAATATATAACATGTAATCTCGATCACGATCACGATCACGATCACGATCTCCAATATATAACATATAACAATTTCATATAACTTGATATAACTTAACCCATTGCCGCTGGGGAAAATGAACAAAAAATGGGGGAAATGCCGTACTGATTTTTTATATTTTCGTGAAATATCTCTGTCCATAGATGGCTCTGCTAGTCCTGATTTCACCTTCCCTTGAATTGGCGGGAAAAAACGTATTCTTACTAGTGCTATAAATATAGATGGTGTTATTTTTAACAGCAAATTAGGATAACGTTAAATATTTTCGTAAATCAATGGAAAGGGTGAACAGGCGAGACAGGCAGTACTGTAATTGGCTCATTGGATACTTAGTACAAGTGTAGCCATCTATGTGTAAAAACAATCGAACAAGTGGACACACAGTGGCCATGGCATGTAAGTACATGCCATCCCCGGCGGCAATGGGTTAATATATAATGATATAACTTAACATATAACGATTTCATATAACTTGATATAACTTAATAGATGACAATAATTTAACTTAACCCCTTGGTGCCGGGTATGACGTGTACGTACGTGCTATGCCCACCGTGAGTACTTGTTTGATTGTTTTTACGCATAGATGGCAACACTTGTACTAAATCACCAATGAGCAACATGGCAACACTTGTACTAAATCACCAATGAGCCAACTACGAGCACCACCCGTCTCGCCGTTTAACCGTTTCTTTGAAAAATATTTCTTACAAAATATTTTACGTAATCTTATTTTGCTGTTACTAATGTTAAAAAAAATATATAAAAATTATAATGTTTATGATAAAAATAACACCATCGATTTTCATAGCACTAGTGAAAAATACGTTTTTCCCGCCATTTCAAATCAGGCGCAAGCAGAGCCATCTATCGGCAGACTTTTCACGAAAAACATAGAAAGTGGGCACATTATTTTCCCCATTTTTTGTTCATTTTCCCCGGCACCATTGGGATAATATGTCATGATATAGCTTACCATATAAAGATCTCCAGTATATAACTATTTCCACATCTCCATTTAGTGTCTGCCGCTAGCACCTGTCATAAATAGTCATAAATATTGTCATAAACTAGTCATAAATATTGTCTACAGTTATAAATATGTCTGT